TTTAAAAATCGTATATCGAAGAAGGAGACTGATGTGTGAAATTAATAAAATATTGAAAGGTTTATATGAGGAAGATTGAGAAATTATAAAATGTATGTCGACATATAATTCGCAGAGATGATTCTTATGAAAAAGAAGCTAAATATTGAAAAGTTGAATTGTATAATTGATATAATGATATATTCTTCATATGCGGCTTTTCCTAGATACAAATTTTATAATTCAGTCTTTACTTGAGAAACTATTATGTAATTATATACTTTTTATATTCAATAAACTATAAATAGAATAAAAAAAGTAATTCGCTTTCTATTTGTTATTCGGCTTAAGAGAGAATCAAAAGCGGCACACTAAATGATTTTAATCACAACTCATTGTCAGAACACGTTCATATAAAATTCGACGAAGCTGTCGAATTAAAAATGATATACCTTTAAATTATGTAGATAGATGAAAAAGCATGCCTATAATTGAAATCAATGCAGATGAAAAAAGGAATCGATAAAATAATCCTAGGCACTCCGTCAAAAAGGAAACTACGAGGGCTTCCCTCGTGCATGATGAATTCATTTTCTTGCACGGATTATATCGATCCGCCAGCACTCGTAGCCCGGGTTAACGACCTTGTTTTCCACTACGGCAACTCATGAGCAAAAATAGATATCGCGAATCGCCATCGACGCGCTCCGTCTTTTTCCAGGCTTTATACACGTTCGGGGAAAAAAGATTTGATTTCTAGCCCAGGCATGTAATTTTAAGTCATAAAGGCTGCATTGAAAAAGATTCAACTTGCGCTTGTTCTTATAACGAAGTGGTTTACGAAACTCGAAAAACTTAATTGTATCCCAAACGATTTACGCAACTGATAATTAAAATCTGCAGCAATAAAACAATATTTGCAAACAAAAAGCATTTAATCATAAAATTACTTTTATTGACGATTGTGAGATATATATATCATCCAGTCGGGAAATTATTCAGAAAAAATAAACAAGAAGTGACGTAACTCCTGGAAATACCTTGCTGTTAATTTTTCTCTTAATTTGCTTTTATTCTTAATAGATATTGACGCAAAAAAGAATTTATCTTAACGCACTATTTTATATCGTCAAACTAAACTATAACGAAATTATACGCACTCGCAATTTCGGGCTCGTGGAAACGTTGAAACTTCAGAACGGTTTTGACTCAGGCAGAAGCAATTGAAACGTTTCCTGTGCGGATGTTTCGCTTCCTCGAACAATTCGTCTGGAGCTCCAAATACAGACCTCATGTTAAAAACATGTCGCTAAAAACTACGCTGAACTTCGACATGTCGCTATTAATTAATCATTCACGCTTGTTCTTTTTTTCAAGTAAAAATGATTTATATATTTAAATCCAACAGAATTCAAAGTGATAATTTAAAGTAATAATTCAACACGAAAATGTTCTGTAAAATCGTTAAAAATAACTGCGACAAGTTAGTAAAAAAATGAAATGTCTGCATATATCGGAGTATATTTTTATATCCAAGACTATTAGAACAGAGGAAATTACGTTTAAATAGTTGTACAGATTTTTAAACAATTTATAAATATCGTGTGCTACAGCAGAAAATTTTTAACTCTCATTACATTTATTGGCGGTAACACATTTCAAAAAGATGAAAAAAAAAAATTGAAAATTTTTTATTACACTTTATAATATTTAGATTGTCCAAAAGCGCAGAGAGAGAATTCAATGCAGCAGTCATTCAACTGCTTTGTCGAAGAATTGTGAAGTTTTCATTTTCATGCATTTTAAGATTAATTTCCTCGAGTTATTAGTTCTTCGGATCTATGTAAATCTAATTTCCATGACTTTGAGATTAATTTTCCCAAGTTCTTCGGCGAGCCCGTTAAATCAATCTCGCGGATCCCTCTATCTGTTTCATAATACGTTTCAATCACTCGATTTCCGTTTCGTACTTGAACGACCTCAGCAGCAGCGGCGAGTTATCTGCAACCGACGGGGTCTTCGTTACGGTAGCACATTGCGGCGGGTCAGTTATCGCGCGATTAAACGACAGCGGCGTTCGCGCACTGAGATCATCGTTTAAAAATACGTACGTACGCCAAGTCTCCGCGCGCGTGACGCGGGAGATCCGGGCGGACGTGAAGGATCGAGCAAATCACCCGTAAAATGAATCCCCGCCGATACCGTCTCACACATATTGTCGCATGTATTTCTACCACGAGGGCTTCCTCTCAATATCGTTTTTCGCCGCTCCGCGCTCAGCGTCACGTCGCGTCGATATTCAATGGAGCGCGCGACGCTCCCGCGAGACACGAGTCAATAAAAGAAAATCACATAAACGTGCCTTATCGCTGGCGTTTCCGATTCATAGAATGTAACGGTACAGATTGGATCGACGGAAACGCGTCTTGAATGGATTCACGAGTGGAAATACTATACTATCGTACCTAAGCTGAGTCGCGGACGCGTCGCGTCGTAGGCCAATAATTCCTCGTTACATTACGTTTCCTTACGATGAATGAAACACGAGGGTCCGGACGCGGTACGGGGGGAGGGGAGGAGGCATACGAGGAAATCGTAATAAATTATGAAAACCAGTTATAGCTTCCACCGACCTTGCCCATGCATGTCTCTATGCGCTATCTATTCGCTATACGGTAAATACCTAACGTCGACGGAGGGGAGGACCCCCGACAGCAATTCTTCGGCTAATCTTATTAACGTCGTCTGGGCGTCGGGCTCTCGGCGGCGAAGAAATAAATTTTGCAACGTTAATTTATTAATTTGAATTACGTAAATAAGTGACGTGAGTGCAAAGCGTGGCGGAATTGAGCGATTGTTGTCAGAAGATTAAATATTACACGAGCAGTGTTGAATTTATAATGAAGACGGATGTCATGTCAAACAAATAGAAGTCAAAATTAGACGGCCTTCGGCGATAAATACGAGCATCCAAGTAGACGTATCGAATAAGTAATGGAGAAAAAGTATAATCGAGATCGTTTTATCGAATACTGTAATTAAACGAGAGGCAACCTGCGAAATTTAAAGCAATATTTGATCAGTCGAAAGTAAAATAAACGGAATAATGCAATAAAGGCCTCAGTGTTCGTGGGAATTATGTTCTACAAAATTAAAATCGGCAAACATCACAGAAATTGCAAATAACGAAGCAGAAATACATATAGAAGCGTGTATGAACAGAAACGCTAACTACAAAAGAGAACATAAAAATATAAAGAGAACATAAGAAATCTCTCTACTTTTCAGGATTTCTTTTGAAAGAAATTCGTACTTTAGGATAAAATTACAGCTTATTCTTAGAACGACTAAAAATATAAGCGTCTGTTGTTTCACCATTTTTGTTAATTCCTCCGGTAGATAGACGAATTTCAAGCTCACAAACGCGAAAAACGTTTGCGCGAGCATCGAACCGCGAATATACGAAGTATACGTGAATAAAGAAGCGTACAGCTTTTACTACCGTATTATGCAACACGACCACGCATCTGTATTATCTTTTAGTCACGTGTACTTTGTAATTGGTTACTTCCTGCGGCTATTATCTTATCGCGCGTGTCTCGGCGATATTATATCTCATATCGCACTCTCTCGGCGTCGTCTCGTGAATCGTGTATTTTTACATTTTATTGTATGTCAGTATACCGTGCGTGCGTGTGGCTGCCCACGTAGTGTGTCCTCCGTAGTATCCCCGGAGAGCGTAAGACTGTTCGAGGGAGAGAGAGAGAGAGAAAAATAAATGTACGAAAATGCGCGGAGCTACTTGAATGCAGGAGTCGTCTGATTGGGTAACACCTGCGCGGACTTCCCGAGGACTTCCGACTGCAGCATTCGCGCGAAATAATGGCCATGCCTGTTACGTATACGCGTACACCTGTTAAGGTCATCGGCGGACAGGTATCGCTTACGTCAACCCGCCGTACGCACGTTGTATTATCGTGCATCTGTCGTAATCGGTGGCTGCAACATACGTAACGCGCCACGCGCGCGCGACTTTACTTTCGTTCACGTACGCTCATCTCTCTTGCGGATCCCGAGTCCGGAATTGACGCGCGATTTTTATCGTGACGTAAAACGTGGCTGCGTTGTATGTGGGCCGCACTTTATATATCCTATTTATAAATCTCTACTACCTATTATTATGTACCCCGAAGATCCTTCCTGATGTCTAGGGATGCATACGTGTGCGACGATATTTTGATGATATTCTCTAATTTGTTTTAAATAAATAATCGATAACCAAGATTTATCACAAAGTACTTAAATAAGCCTGGAACGAACAGAAATGGCTCGACAGTTTTAGACCGTGAATTATATCTCGGAGAATGTTACAGAGTCATGACTCGCCGACAATCTAAAAAAGCGTTCTTTATTTGATCTTTAATTGTCCGAATAGAAACGTTTTATTTTGGGCCTTGAATTTATCTGATCATTTGAATAGAAAGGTTGATGTTAATGCTGACAAAAACTATATATAATCTTTATTTCCTTAAGCTACTAGTCCTGACGATATTAACAATTCTGTAAACTTGTAATTGCGCCATTCGTCTATGCAAAAACTCGTCTTTATCTTACGTAATATATTTCCTTTTGTGTGACAGTAGCGTTACCGTTTAAGTCGGTTTAACTGTCCGCGCTTGCCGTTTTACGATGATAATGAGGGAAAAGCTGCAGCTTCGTGAAAATGAAACGAGGATTGCCTGATTCAACGCGAATGTTCGATTGCAGCATCGGTAAACATATCGGTTTATGCGTGACTTCATTTTAAAGTCAATAGACTACATAGTCTCATTTTAACGTCAACATCTATAGGCGAGATTGATAAATGCTGTTATCGTTTTAATAAACACTTTGCGATTTATCGTACGCGTAGAAATCATTTTGGAGCGAGAGAATGGAGTGGTTGAAAGACTTCTCAAAGATCTTGATTTACAAGAAATTCATATCTATATAGGAAAATCAAGAAGTTTAATGCGCCTTACCTCTGATGGCGAAAGAGACGTGTTCGTGAAAACAGGAATTCTCCGATCCGATTGCGTCCAATTATGATTGCATCCAATTATGATTGCGTCCACAATGTTGATTATCCGGACTAATTACGATTCAATAGATCGCCATTTTTAACGTGCCCTTCGTGCTGTAAAAAAAAAATCAAACTTATAAATAATTTGCTGACCTATTAGTAACAGCGAAATGTCATTTAAAACGGAACGACATGACAAAGAGAACGATTCTAGCTGTTGTTCGCGTGCATCGTACGCTCTCCGCGCAATAAATTTTAATCGCCGGCAATCGTTCTTCTTCAAGATGAAAATGATAATTTTACAAACGCGCGCGGATTACCGTGCTTCGCAGAAATTGCTATTTGCACAAAGCCCTTCGGTCTAACTGTCGCAATTGCGCAACACGCTCAACATCTCTGTATACATAGCGCATTGCTCGCTACCGCCCACGTGAAACGACCGGGATTTGCATCATCAGCACACGAACGGGGAATGATATTCCCAGGCTTGACACCGGATAGCAGGTGATAGCGAATGAGAGTACTTTATTTTCGGAAAGGTCACGATTGAGGTATGATGCCACCGATATCACTATATCGTATCGTTATAGCGGAGATATACGTCACGAGGATACGAGGGCGTTAGTTATCGAAAGAAATGCCCTGTTTCCTGTCCCAAATTTTCCATAATAAAAAATATCTTCATAAGGTAATATGAAATTATCTATAGACGTTACAATTATATATTAATTACGCCCATGGACAGAGAAAGAAAGAGATATCGTAATATCGTATAATTTTTGCGATACCATCTTTTTACTCCGCTACCTTGACATCTAGGATCTTTTTGAATAACTCTTCTTTACGGATGTTTCTTTACACTCGATTACAAAAAAAATCAATGCGTGAAAATGCGCTAAAAATACTATACTCGTTGAAGCAGTGTTTTTCTGATAACTTATATTGCAGGGATAATGCGCGTAGGCGTTTCCTATGACGTAGCTGCAATATTTAATAAAAATTCCGACTTCGGTTCGTTTTAATGGAAAATATTAATGCAAAAACAATCTGTCGTAAAGCTGGATTTTGTCGTCCCACCATCACAGTGACTCCTCCGCGTTCTTGGAATGCACTGTTTTGTCGCAACGTCGGACACGCAAAAGTTAAATCGAGTAACGAGGAATGTATAAATTATATATTGTGTAATCAAATAACATAATTTCTCGGAATCATCTTTAGAGGCATTCGAGCGCGAGCTGTCATGAATTTTACATCGCTACTCTCCAATGAGATTCGTTACTAATTCAACGTGCAAGACCTTTCGCCGCGTACCAATAGAGGCGATTCGCCCACGTCCTCTTCCGTTAATTTTTAATTGCAAATTTCGCAATAGAAAATACGAGAGAGAGAGAGAGAAAGAGAGAAACAGAGATGGTGCGCAGCAAACGAAGGACAATAATCGTCTACGTGTCTCACAATTAGCCATGTTGCACTGTTATTTCCATCTAGGATTCCTGCGCTGCTCCCACGCGTTTCATTGTAATGCATCAAAACGCTCGGAACATTATTACGAGAAACATTATTAGATGCACAACAGTAGGTCTGTACACCTTGGTACAGTTTGTATAACATCCACGTTTCCCGATATTTGACATTTCACCTAGCTAGATTTATGTCTAGATATGAATTCATTTGTGTTCTCTGCGTAGAGTACCTGCAGATAGCGAATTTCGAAGGTCGCATGTGTTCATACAGAATTTCTAGAAAATCGTACTGTTAGACTAAAATTGAAAAGTGGAATTAAGTTTAATTATGTTTAAAAAAACAGAAGAAAAATATAATTTGCCTTTTTCTAAAAAAAATTGTAAAATTTTGATTACGTGTATAAAAGAGAGGCTAAAAATATGAGATATTCACTGTATCGTCTTTAACTAGACGTCTCATTTTATAAATTAGATTCATTTAGTTGCAAATTGCTTATACTGACAGAAGTAATTCATACATATATAAATTATTATTACATCGAAGTATTTTCTTTAGAAAAAATCAATATCACACGTCTCTTTATTATTTCTATCCCCGTCGTCTGTTATCTTTTCCACGCAAAGGCTCGGTGAGTCAGTCTTGGTGAATCGATCACGACGGAAATCGATATCAAGCAAATCGGTGGAATCGAGCTTTCTCTACTAGGTGACGGACAAGCAGCTTCCTTCTTCTGCTTTAATGTTAAAGCCTCCACAACCATCCGAGCGTTATTGAGCGTTAGGGCGAGCGAGAGGGGCGCACGCGCGCGCGTGGAAGGACGGTCGGGTGCTCACCTTACTCTGCACCCACGCGGATCGAATCCAATTCGTCGGCACGCGTCCGGACAGCCGCGGAAGGTCACAGACGCCCGCGGCCCTATCCCTCTCCCTCTTCACCACCGCCCGTCACGTATCAACCCTCTCGCTCTCTGTCCCGTTTTCCACCCTCAACCCGTCCTTCACCCTCGAGGGGTAGAGCGCGCGCGCGCGCGCGCGCTTAAGCGCGATAAAGCGACGGTGGTGGTGGTGGTGGTGGTGATGGTGGTGGTGGTGGTGGTTGCGGCGGCCGTGTGATCGAACGCGAAAATCTTCAACGACAGCCGCCCAAATGAATGGAATGCCGACCTACGCCTGGCACAGTCGTCTGATAGGCTGTCGTCCCCTCCTGCCAGGGTGAAAGAGAACAAACGAACGGGCGAGGAAGCGAGCGAACCGAGCCGAGCCGTGCCGAGCGCGATGAACGGGCGAGGCCGAGGACGGGCTTCGTGTAAACGGCAAGGGCCAAGGCCGTATTACTCGATGGCACGTTTTGCCATCCTCATGCGCGTGTTTCGCTTCAAACTCTTTATAACTGCGATACCGTCGCGTATGTAACTGTATACGTAGTTACGACAACGCGTGGGCGGGTTTGGCGAAATCTCATTAAAAACTGAAATCAATTTTTCCTTTGTTAACATTTAATTTGAGCCATCTATTCGTGGACACTTTCGAAATTTCAACCCTCAATGCCATTGCTAATTATGTCTCAGTAAAAAGATTCGTCCAAGTTTATTTAAAATTGCCTACAGATTGCCTAAGATTTCATTATACATTCGTTTCTGAAACATAATGATAGAAATTTCCTTTAGAATCGGTTACAATCATTCATATTCATCTTGGATAAATTTAAAAACTTTAATTTTTTCGCACTCGCATCAAATATGTTTAAACTTCTATGTGGACATATGGAGAATAAAACTTGAGATTAAAATACTATCACACATGCTAATATATCAATAGATTTTTGGTAATATATTGTATTTGTAATATATGTATTTTAATTAATAATTCAATACGCAATCTCTGGATTAATGAACTGTTTATCTTATCAAGCATCACTCGATATTATAAATACTACCAGGTTTAATATATTATTTACTTTTAAATTTGTTATCTATATTTTTATATACATTCTACTCTTTATTCTTTTCTCCATATATAAATACATAGATTGATATCATTGTTCACTTAAGTTTGCAAGAAACAAAAGCATAATTTCTATTTTGAAAATTTCTAATCTAACAAAGAACCTTTTCTCTTTCTCTCCTGCATATTGGGTTTTTATTTTCGTAAGTTAGTTGCTTTATAATCGCTGTGCAATCATTGCAACGTAATCCTTTTAACACCGGCTATATACTCAATATTGATGCACAGACTTACATTAGCAGCGTATTGTGTGCTTCCACGAAGCCGGGATTGATCCCGCGAGACGGAGAGGTCATTGTTTTGTCGTATATCTGAGAAATCGTTAGTCTGCTTGGTATTACGTGCGCTGCATGGGCTTTGGCATGCTATATGTACGTGGCAAATGTATCGATGCCATGTTACATCATCGTGATACGCTTGTCGATGTCAGAAACAGGTGCCATGATAAGGATTGCGCTTATGTTTACAATATCCGCGTCTCATTGCATCCCGGATGACATCGTGATCCGGATATATATTGCAATTGGAGGTTACAATCTGCAAGAGATACGTTCGACAATGAGCATGACGGAAGAGTTCATTATATAGAGACATACATACATACGCGGTAAATAGATAACAGGAGGAAAGTGGCGATATTGATTCGAACGTGAGAGAGACGGCAGGCAGAGTAGGATTGAGAGGGAACTAACCTATACGCGTGGGGGTGACGGGATTTCATCGTCGGTGTTCGGCCCTGCTGCTGGTCGAGCAGCACGTGCACGCTAGTGTGCGTGTATGTCGGGTACGGCGTTCTCTCTCTCTCTCTGACGTTCTCTCCCTCCGCTTACCCGGTCGTGATAATACGCGCCTACGCACGCGTGAGAGAGCGCGCGCGCGTGTGTAACGTGCGGTGCCCCATTCCCGCCAGCGTTCCCCCTCGTCGCCGCGGTCCGCGCCGTCACGAAGCCGCTCCAACCTCCAACCGCTTCAACGACGGCTCAGTCAGCACCGACCCCCGACCCAACCTCTACCCACGCCTAGTTAATGGAAACATCTTTTGTCAATGAACTGACGTCAGTCCGCGCGGCGATTGGCCGGCAGCGCGGGCTCACGTGATCGCCGGCGAATCGTGTCGCACGGCGGCCGCGTCTCACCCCTGCGCGCGACGTGCCGAGCGCCGCGCCGCTGCTCCATTCTTCGACGAGCGAACGTTCGCGGTAAGGTGTGGCCTGCGGCAAGTGTACGTGATAGAACAAAAGTGGAATTGTAAAAACAACAAAAATAAGAAAGAGGGGGAGAGAGAAGGAGAGAGAGAGAGAGGAGGAGAAAACGGAAGAGGGAGGAAAAGCACGGGAAAGGGAAAGAAAAAGATAGTTTTGTGACATATTTCAAGTCGTCGAGAACGCTCTCCGCGTTCTTTTCTCTGATCGAGGAAATTCACCCGGACGGGTGAAGAAATTCGTTATTCCCGATTCCGCGGGACGATGTCGAAGGGATATTTGTGAGGTGATAAGTGAAAAGAAAGCGAGAGACAGGAAACGGACGTCGATACGCGGAGAGAGAGAGAGAGAGAGAGAGACAGAAAAGTGCTGATCCGATCAGGACGGATACGGAAACGCGGTACAGTTGTCGCTGGAGCGCGTACGCGGTCCAGCGTATGCGCGTCGGCGAACCTACGCTCAGAAGAAGGTGGGGGCGAACAAGCGCGGCGCGACGGTGGGAGTGAGCGCGACCCGCGGTGCGCGCGCGAATAAGCGCGCGCGACGAGGATGGAACGAGCGCTACTCGCGCGCCGAGAGGACGACGACGAGGCGAGCTCGCGCGAACTCGGTTGGGTCGGCGAGCGCGAGATAGAGTGAGCGCCGAGCGCGTCGGTCGCGTTCGGTCGGACATGCATCTCCCGCACGGCGAGCGTAAACATTCCACAGCCGTGCCGTTAATTGGACGCGTCGTCGTCTTGATTCACGAGGAGATCGATAACCGGGACGAGCTGGCAGCGATAACGGTGGCCGCGACGACGACGACGACGACGAGGACGAGGAGGAGGAAGACGTGGACGAGGAGAACTGTGCAGGCTACAGTGGCGGCTGCGGCAACGACAGCGGTGGGGAAGCGGGAGACGAAGGCGGAGTAACATACGCAGCGCGGCGTAGTATATCGCAGGAAATGATGGCAACGCGTGTGAACCCGTCGAGTCGCGCCCGCCGTCGGCGGACGAACGTCGCGCGATCGTTCTCCGGATCTGGATAGAACATCCGGGGAACGTGTGCCCTCTCCGGTGTCCACTCAACTCCAAGTGCCATTTCGTCGTATATATCGTATCCAGTGATATATATTCAGCCGCGGGGGGAGACGCTCGCGCATAGTAGGGAACGCGCGTGCACGGACATCCGCTTCGTTCATTCGCTTCCATTGTGGAGATTGTGGAGAACACGCGACAGGGCAGGGACGCGGACTCACTCGCGGCTCCGTCGGGCGACGGATTGGAGCGGATTTTTGACGGGTGCGGGCATGCAACCGTCGTGATCAGTCGACGTGTCGTCGCGCTGGCCAACACTTGGAAGCTTCTCAAGTGACGACGAGCGCAGGAACCAGGTCGTGACCAGTCGTGTTTGACAGTGTACAACAACGCTCTGCTGACGGCTTGTTTACTGTTTATCAGAGGTGCCGTGCACCCGATGATAATGACGGGCACTTCGACGCTACAGAGGCTCAAGAGTACGGCTTTGTGGATGAAGGTTCAGTGATTGAGGGAAACATTTGAGTGCGGTCGCTGTTTGCGGGACAAGGCAGCGCTTACGTCCACGTAAGGGGACACGTAAAAGACACCACAAGACACACACACACACAAGTGCGAGAGTGCAAGTGAGAGACTCAAGATGCCTGATAGTGCAATGGAAGAGGATCTTCTGGGTCCGGAATGGCTGTTCGGGGAGTTGAGATCGCAGGACGGTCCCAGTAAACTTCTTATTCTGGACTGTAGAGCACACTCCGACTTCTCCGACGCTCATATAAGAGGCTCGGTGCCTCTGACTATACCTAGTATCATGCTGCGAAGATTGGCTGCTGGTAAAGTGGACCTCCTGTCCACGATACGGTGCTTAGATCTGAGAAATAGAGTGGAGACGTTTCTGTGCGGAGATGAGAACAGAAGAGGGACATTTGTATTAATCGGTGACTCTACAGATTCTGCAGGTCATCAGGGTGAAACGTTGCAAGTTTTGAGCCGGAGACTTAAAAGCAGTGGAGGAAACGTTGCCGCTTTAATCGGTAAGAGAGATCAGTTTTTATCCTTAATTTAATCCACAGTTAATTTCATTTCCATTAAGTAAGATCGCACAAAGTTTGACATTTTAAGCCTATTAAACTATCAAATTTTTATATTTGAAAATAAAATACTTTTATTGCTAATTTTATTCCTAAATAATAACTTGTGTGTAAAATATAAAATTAAAACGTGCAATTATATTGATATTTATGTTTCATTATGGAATAAATTATTGTTTACGACAGTATTTTAGAAACCATTTGCGTAATTAATATATATTGTTTTAATAAAGATTTCTAAATTTAATTATTAAACATCAGACACAATTGTTGCTAATTATAACTCTGCATTTATATCATTTTATTGTTACGTACGTGTGCACAAGCAGCAATAATAATTGGTAGCATAGAAAGGCTTTCAGAAGTAACAGTCAAGCATAGAGACTGCTTGTGAATGAAATATTGATTTATGTGGGAGGCATTCCGGTAGAACCAGACACTTAATTCTATAGCCAGTCTTTATCAGGCTTTAGATAAAACTGTTCAGCCATTCAATGTTTTGTTTGACATGGAGAAATTTAGCGATTGCAAATGTATTAATACATACATTGAATGCAAAATAGAATATTATTTATTTGTGTTAGCTTTGTTTTATAATCATTGATAAGTATTTTAAGGAAATGGATATATTGAAGAGTTATGAGCGGGTTTGTGTGATTATTGATCATTTTTCTTGAATGTTATATGCAAAATTTAGTTTCTAATTTAGTTAATGACGGATTTACTGAAAATTTTAACAATTATTGAAATTTGGAAATAATTGATACTTTTTCATTTTCATCAAAAAGAAGAGAATTATTATACATATATTTAAATATAATAAAATTATATTTATTACAATTTATTATATTTTAATATAATGCAATAATTATACATATAAATTTTACGCAATATACATGTTAGAAAATTTTTTATTAATTTATATAGATTTTGATTTGGTCTCAATTATTATTATCATGTTATATATTTATTTGTAGGTGGTTTTGAAGCATTTAAAGATAAATATCCAGAGTGGTGCGAAGGTAGTCAAACCACTAAAGAATGTGACCCAGGTCAGGACAATAACGATGGTGAATTAATGGGCCTTAGATCCCTTCGGATATCTACTCCACCAACCAGATCTTATTCAGACTCCGATAGTGACAGTACATGTGATTCAATTGGTGAGCAGATATTTTTATTATTAGTATAGTTCTTAGAATATTTTTTCTCATTGTTAAAGAAGAGGATCATGCGACAGCAATTTATATTAATGACCAACAATATAATACTTTAATAATAGATTATAATAATAAAAAATGTAACAACAGTAATGCAATGGCAGTAATTGGATTCGTGTTTCTGCATTCCAGGTCCCGAGGAAGATAAAGACTTTCCGGTGGAAATTTTACCTCATTTGTATCTCGGTAACGCGGCCAATAGTGAAGATCGCGAGGCTTTAGCGCGGCACAGGATACAGTACATACTCAATGTAACACCGGATTTGCCAAATGTATTTGAAAGTGCCGGCTCAATAAAGTACATGCAGATACCAATAAGCGACCACTGGAGTCAGAATTTGGCTAGTTTCTTCCCGCAGGCGATTCAGTTTATAGGTAAGTGACCGTACACCGATACGAAGCATTTTTATTGAAAACTAAATTCTAACATTTTTTTTTGTAGTCAATTAGAACTAAAAAAATTTGATTTATACCGTTTTTACGATAGCTTTTTGCAAGCATTTTGTAAGTAGATAGTATATATATTTTTTTAATTCTTTGCATGAAATATGAACATAAAGAAATTAAGCATTTTCCGTTAAAAAGAAATTCTCAGCTATTGATTGGTCTCTTTTACTCCGTAACTTCAATGAACGTTTCGTTCACATCCACATGCGTGCTTCTAAATAAAATTATGTTAATGATATATATTAGATCGGTATATATTTGAAATTTAAATAAATTATTTTATATGTCATACGCTAATAAGAAAAGATTTTCTCGACATGTAAAATTTTTAATTTACACAATTTTTACGTCTTGTATTATTTAAACATACGCGCATGAAAAACAGAATGCGCGAGTGATGAGTTTTATTACATCGGAGATCGGAGGTTTTTCCGCATCAAAATCTTGTTCGAACCGCTTCTTAAACAGGATTTCCTGTTTAAGAAGGTCCCCGCGCAGCTTCTGAAAGGGGCATTCTTATAAATAGGTTCGCCTAAATAGAAACTTTCCCACGTGGCGGGCAAGCCGCGCTAGACAATTAAACAACGGATGTCCGGTTAGGCCGAGAGCTATACTTAAGCTTGAATGGCGAGGTTTGGCATTGCTATTGAGCCGGTCTGACACTTGACTATCTCGACACATTGCAATATTGGCGATCCCATTTTTTTTATTAGCGCCATTTAAACGAATTTGTCATGATATGTATTGTTTTCTGTAGCATTTTTGTTCGCAATTTTCTAATTAATGAGCGTTGAATACATCAAAGAATAGTAGCTAACGTAATTAATATTTCCCATCCTAATCTTTATTAAATAATAAATAACTCTCAAACAATGATGTTATCTCGATCTTTAACGTTTAAATTAATATTAAAATATCGTATTTTTTAATCCTTTTGATATCAATTAATTTGAAAAATTCGACGTTTGCACTTTAAAGAGTCATTATAAAATGAACTTATATATTGCATATTTTATAATTTCGTGTAATTAAAAAAAATCCGTAAAATAAATTCTAAATATCAGCGCGATAATTGATCGAGTTAAAATCATAAAATTAAAAGCGCTGTTTGTTGTTTATTTTGCAGAGGAGGCACGGAACGCAGATAAGGGAGTGCTGGTACATTGCCTGGCCGGAATTTCTCGATCCGTCACGATCACCGTGGCTTATCTTATGCACAAGTGCAGCCTCAGCCTGAACGATGCTTTCAACCTAGTACGTAGTAGAAAGGCGAATGTCGCCCCGAATTTTCACTTTATGCAGCAGTTGCACAGCTTCGAGCAGGAGCTGAGGGACCGAGGGGAGGAGAACAAGAGCAACGACCGGAGGTGCATCGGGGCATGCCGGCCCAATAAGCCCTGCAATTGCCCAGCGCCCAGCTTCCTGAGTCCCATCGACATGGGACTCAGCCCCGACTCGGGAATCGAGTTTGACAGGTGGGCGGCAAGTACACCGGCCGAATGAGACGAACTCGGGGGTACCCAATACAAATTCTAGGTCTTCTCCGTCACGCGATCAGGAGGATTCTGATCGAGGGTTATGATAACGCGCTTTATCATTTTTGATATGCGAGACGAGCAACCGAAGTCCGCCACTCGCGAGATATTTCCAGATGGAATGGAATATATTTGACGCGTTTGGCGAGTGCCGAGATGTTAGTGCCGAGCTTTTAGCGACATCGAAGATAGTTACCGCGCCGAACACTTTCCTTTCGTATTTTCTCGTTTCTTTCTGTCGAGTCTCTCTCATTCCAAGCGTAACAACGTACGCGGATAACGTTTATTAAAGATATATAAATTATTTATAAATTCTGATTAAATTGAATTGCAAAAGTCTCTTTTTCTCTCCAAAGATACGTATGCGTACTCGACATAACATAGAAGAAAGAAATTTACCTTCGTCTAAATTTAGAAATAATCGAGGAATGAGAGGATTAATAGATTGAGAAAGAAAAAGAAATATATTTTCGATTAGGAAGAAGTTATCTCTTTGTTAGACGATTAGCTTTTCTCAGCGTTCAGTAACAATGCTTCGATATATTTCTACAGCGACAATGCTTGTTTGTCTTGAAATTTTCGATTACGAAAGATCGGACTGTTACGCCGTCGAATCACGTTAATACAATGCAGTCGTGTTGTGACTTAGGGAAAGAGTAAACGATATGACTGTTGATGTCCTTTTGCGATAAGGAAGAAGCAACGTTTATAATGCTCTTTTCTGAATTGTTGTGACAGCAAAGGATATTGAAAGTATTTTGTAAAAAATGAGATCCCGTAATTTTCTCATCGTGCAACAGGCGCGCAATTGTAATTGTACATTCTGATGTTATGCTTCCAAGTTTTGAGAAACTTTTAGCATATATGATTGTATAAACGGTATGCGAGATATATTGGATTCAAGCTACTATCTACTCGCGAGGTATAAAATAATGCATACCGCCATACCTCAAGAGAGTTTTAGAACATATACATATATATACATATGTATATGTATATAATGTATACGTATATGTGTACATATATACAGGGTGTTTCCTAACATGTGGAATCCACTTCACTGATAAAATAGGAGATAATGATAAAGACAAATAATGAAAGTTCACGTAAACATGTGCTCTATTTGGCTTTGAGTTATAATCATATTTGTATTCCAATAATATGGAGTTGCTTACCTTTATAAGAAGTGCTCAAAATAGTGCAGACCTTCGGTCTGAAATGCAATAACTTCGTTAACGTGTACAAGAAAGCTGGAAACACCCTGCATATATGTATATATATACATACATACATATATATATTTTAATACTTCTTTCCCCAAATTCTTCAATTAATGAGGCTGTGTTTATTTTATTGCAAGCGATATTTCATGCGAAGTAATCTCTAAACGACGAATTTCCTACCAGGCAATTAAAAGTAGTCGAAAGATAAACATCACTGCTTAGTATGTTAAGTTCTGTGGTACAATTAAGAGAGATCCTGTATGCACATGCGAATTTAAAGCTTCACGCAGGCACGAAATCGATCCCCCCCCCTCCCAAAAAGACCGATAGTTTACTCGCGATATTCGCGTAAGCTACTAAGAAAGCGCAAGTATATTTTCTTTCGGAAGCTAGTCTTCCGAAGTCTGGAGGCCCAAGTAGAGGGCTGAGGTTCCGTTCAACTAATTCTTAAATCTGCCACCGAGCTTCTACTCAACTGTGGTAGTAGTTTGTTGTAAAAAGTAAAACGTGAAATTTGTAAACGAGTAATTTTCGATGTAGTTTTTCAACACACTGAAGTAACTTACGTCGGGTAATCGCCTCAATGCATTCTGACCTTCGAGACGCGCGAGAGGTACATGCACGTCGCCTCAGGTACATATGCCAGTAACTTAAGTTTAAGGGAGGATACACATCTTAGGAATCAGTGCATTTCTGTAGGGCATTCCTAATCTCTCCTGCTCATGGGAAAAACCAGGCTCGTCACCAGGTTTTCACGGAGTTCGAAGAATTTGCGTCCAAGTCACTCGGAAATATATGTGAAGGCGTTACTTAAAAATTTCATTCTTTTCAATCTATTTGTAATGCGAAGTTTAAATTGTCGCAATTTAAAAGAAAATTTAGTTTTTTAGAAATTAGATTTTAAAAGAGAATTTATTATTTTTTTTAAATTAATATGTTATACTAATAATGTTGAAATTACAGATTTTAATAATTCTGTTTTAATTGTTCTTTTTTGTTTTTATCTAAAATTTAAATGTGTGTTACAATTAAGTAACGCTTTCAAATATCGGGAATTGTCGAGCAAACTCCGTCGTCACTGTTACATACAGAAATCTGAAAGATAATGGTTCCTGCACGTTACATTTTTGCTGGCATCAGAGCAACGTATTAGTCCTTCAGATTTTTTATATAGATACTTTTCTACACGAGGACGTTGGGCCTGTGCATTCGTATGAAAACGCATCTAGCTATACATTGCTAGTAATAACTCGTGCGCTAAATTGGATTTCGAATCGTATGAATCAGCACTGTTTCTATTATCTTACAGATCTCAGATATATATTGAAAGTTATTTTTGTAAAGAAACGAAATGCATCCACATTCCCGAGCCAAAATGGCCTGACACTGTAACTACCTTTCATCTACTACTATATGTATCGTTCATTGAGCATAATTGAAGTTAATATGAGTGTATACAAATGAATGTTATTTTTGGTGTAATAATTAACTGCAAGAGTTGCGGTAATTAATAGCTCGTGGCTATTGCGGGAGTAAATTGATATATAACTAAGGAAATATATATATTTGACGTTAATGTAATAACAATATTCTACTATTACACTGTTGTCTGTTGTATGTTTACTGGGTGCGTGTACCCGAGAAATTTAATCAAATATTATATGTGTATATTATATAAATTATTATTTTATATTCATCGTTGTATATATATTTTAACTAATTTTCATTAGTAGTACAACTTATCTTACTTAAACTGTAAGTAATTGATTGTCATTTAAGCAGGTCATTTACATTCCATGCAGATAACTTTGTCTCTTATTTTCCAAAATTTGTCTGTCGATGTTAAATAAAATAATATGCGTTGTACGCATTTATTACGTTGGGACATTATATCTGCCATGGCAATAGTAATAATTTATTCAATCTCTATTATATGAACATGTAAGTCTTTTTAATTTTTTCCCTATACTGCAAAATATTAATGTTCATTTTCGTACTTCTGATATAAAATCGATAATAAAATCTGGAGAATTTATTCCTTTGAAATTTGTATTATCGATATATATTATAAAATATGTATTGTGTATCTCTTGACAACACATGTTCGTTTATTAAGAAATATTTATGTATGCTTTACGACGAAATGAAATTAAAAAAGTACGTAAAAGCCCTAAACACATATCATTTTATCTTAGTCCCGAAACAGTCAATATGTATGCCGAATAACTTTATCTTGGTCAGTTGTAATAATTGAGCATAAATAAATTGTTAAGATATTAATTTAAAAGTTTAATTGCGTGAGTTTAACCAACAAATTGCCGTAGATATACACTTCAATATGTTTCAAAGTATTTTGCTCATTGTTCTTGTAAAAGATCTCCAACATATTTGTTTTTTGCGAATATAAAATAGTATTAATGTATTAATCCATTAATTATACGTAGATCTATATTTTTTGAAAGTATATTATGGAGTATAGAGTACAGTATATTTAAATAATGAATGTTAATTGTATTAAAAAATGTATTTATTTTTTTTACGATTGAGCAACCGAGCTGCAAAACATACATACACGTGCAAACTTATTTTCAGTCGCGTTCACCGAAATTATATTAGTGCATCACAAAAATGGTTTCTTACTTCATATTCACCATTTGCCATCATTAATTATATATATATAATTGTAATCTTTTCAATCTCTTCTCTCGTTTCTTTTTTCGTTCAATTAATTACGAAACGAAATTATTTTCATAATCTTACAAGCAGAGTCCCACTGCTCGTAAAGCGCATTAGATAATTAAATCGATAATCTGCTTGGAACAGTTTACCACTTTGTTTGACGTACTGAGGTCGGTTGTGCTTTCTGATAGAGTTGTAAGAACATTCAAAGCCGTTTCGGATTGTCGCACAGCACTAATTAATTCATTGCGATCACTGGGATCTAGTGTAGCGGCCAATAATGTTCCCAGTCCAACCAAGGCTCTGAACATTGCTTCAGACTCATTCAAACGAGGCAATACAGTAACTAATACATTTAGAGCTCTCGTTCTACCAGGTGTATCGTTGTATTTACTAAGCGCTACGATTAGATTCAATATGTATGTTGATATTGCAACCTGTAATGCAATATCGCAATCTGTTAGCTACTTATATAATCTTATATTATTTTTGGGTTTTCATGCAAAAAAAATACTGTTCTATATTAAAGTATTTGATATAAAACTGAGAATTGCACTTTTGATTACTTTATCAATTATTCGTATGATTTAGGTTCTCATAAGGCTTTTTTTTGGTTAGGTTTCTAAATATTATTCAATAACTGATGTGGCATACCTGATTATTTTTGTTTCCAAGGGACTGTAGATCCAGTAGAGACTTGAGTATCTCATCCCTGTAATCTAGACAGAGTTTCTCTCCCTTTTCATGCTGGAACATATTGGCCATTAGACGGAAGGTGAGCATTTGATTCGACGAAGTTGCGTCGGATCTGATATGCCTTCGTATGACCGGTAGTAATTCTTCCGTACACAGTTGATCATTTACTTCCTTGTGAAGTACAGCGAGTCTCGCTATATCGAGAGCTGGGAACACTGTGTCGTTTGGCCAATCCAGAAAGCTTTTCAGTGCGTCGATAGCTCTAGTCCGAAATTCCTCAGTTATTTGATTACTCATAAGTTTTTCTATTGCATCCAGCTTCTCCTCTGGTACTTTATATGTACTTTCTTGTTTAGCATTTAACTCGTGTAATTTTTCTGTAAACAATTTTATAAATGTTTCACTGACAAAATAATGAAAAATTTATGTTGCATTTCTATTGTATCTAATCATCTTAAACAAGTCTGATTACCGAAGATAGCAGTTAAATTTGCTTGTTCTAACTTTAAATACTTCGAGTGAGGTATATAGGAGGGTGATGTAGATGTCTTGAAAGAACTAAATGTCGATGCTTGTGCACTAACATCGGACGTGCTAGACGATGTTCCTGATTCAGGAACATATCGGCTTCCTCCTGTAAAAGGATCGACATATTGCGATCCAGTATTTAAAACTGGACTTGGATCAGAATTTTTTACTATAAAATTTGCAACCTGAAATGTATATAAATTTTAGTTCATTTTTCTTTCTCAGATTTGCGATTCTAGAATTATTTTCCAATAGAGTAATAAATAAAATGTAAAAGATTATATGAAGACATTTTATAGAAAGTGAAATACTTTTCAAGATGTATACCTGATCTAAAAATAATTGACTGAGGTTATTGTCATGAAGGAATTTCTGTGCTACATGCCATGGATCTTGGTTCTTATTGTATGGAAGTTTCAAAGGTGGCACACCGTCTTGTATGTCGACTGAAAAGACATAATCGTATTCTATGCCATTGTAAAGCTGCTTTCCGGAAGTTGCCGCGGTACCGCCGGACGCACCCATCACGTCGCCAATTTTTATCCATCGTTGTTCGCTTTGCGACCAACTGTATGCCCTGACTGCATCCCCTTCATTTACTATCTTTGTCTGGCCGTCTCTCTGGCCGGGCCGTAGAAGAACTTTCGAATCTGGCAGACTGTATGCAATAAAAACTAATTATAATTAATCACAAATTAAAAAAAATACAATGTACGAATGAAAATTATTTCATCCAAAACGAGGGGTACTTACTCCTTTACATTGATGTCTCCGATTGCCTGCTGTGCATTCAGAACTGTATTCGCTACCTCCTTCTCAAACGCTTCCAACGTCTCCGCGTTTGCGTACCGTTCGGGATTGGACGAGAATATCCTGACGGCACCGTCGGAACTCCCGGCGACTATGTCGTCGTTCGAGAACAAATCAATGCACCATATCGACTGCGTCGGTAGAACAATGGTTTGTTTCAGTTCCGCGTTGTACCATATTCTAATGGACCTGTCTTCCCCAGACGAGTAGACGTATGTACCATTCGGGAGGGCCGATATACTGTAGATATAATTCTCGTGCCCGCAATATGTGCCTAAACAGGTCCCAAGTTTAGCGCTCCAGTGCCTTATAGTGGCGTCGTTCGCGCAAGTTAGAAACTCGTCCTCCTTAATGTCGACAATGTCGCGAACGCAGTCGGTGTGTCCCGTCAATTTGTGCAGCACCGAACCGTCCCTCGACCATATTATCACCAACTTGTCGGCCGATCCACTTATTATATTGCCGTTGGACAGATCCGCTATGCACCACACCGCGGCGGTGTGACCCGCGAGGTTCAGCTGCGGCTTGCTCAGGTCATCCACGTCCCACAATTTGGCGGTGAGATCCCAGGAGCTCGAGAGAAACGTACCCTCCTTCTTGCCGGCCTTTAAATTGCACACATTGTTCTGGTGCGCCTTTATGGTGTGCGCGGGCACCGTTTCGTCGGCCACGTAGACGCATATGGCGTTGTCGTTGCCACCGGTGATGATGTAACCCTTGGGATGTCTCTCCGACGGATTTATAACGCACACCGAATTGACGAAGTCAGAGTGGCCCGTTAACGTCGCGCTCTGCTCGTACTCGTTGCCGTTCCTGCAACAATTCTGGGCGTCAGTAAAGCACAGCACGGAGTTTCGTTATCCAACAATAATTCCCGGCAAGCATGCAACTGAAGATGAATATCTATGATTGAAAACTGTTCATATACATGCATGCCTAACCTCACATAGGCAGAGAAACGGGTCTCTCTCTCTCTCTCTCTCTTTTAAAGGCTAAAAAGGATTGAAAATTGTACGGAAGCAAGCCGGAGGGATTTGGATCACTGTGAGCTCCCGTGGGGGAGTGCCAGCGTGCGCTACCAACCCGGTCGGTTTCCATACACGCGCTGTCTTGTCCCGGGAGACCGACACGACGGTACCGTCGAGGAAGGTCGTCACCGCTCTCACGTCCGCGCTGTGGCCGAGCAGCACGCTGCTCAGCTTGTACGGCGGCTTGTCCATCCTGGCAATCAAAAACAGTTCCTCCGTCGATCTCTTCGGCTTCGATTTCAATAAATTTTGTGCAACCCCCGCACGACGACACGCAACTCACGACGATACGCCCCGCACGTCTCGCCTGGCCCCGCTGGCATCGCTGCACGCCGCGCCGCGATCGGCCGCGATGACAGATGCAAAATGAGTCGCGCATGCGCAGATCACTGTACCCACATTTCATTTGTGGATGTAGCACATACTCAAACCACATCCATTTCCGACGTTATAATTTTATCGACAATGTCAGAAAATGGATGTAGCTATTATATACGTAATAATTATTTTAAAAATGCATTTATTATACTGCAGGTACTAATGTACGGGGATTCTGACGGTCCCACGTAAATAGTCGCTCTCATAACTACTACAAATACTTTAAGGCATTTTTTGATTAATCAGTCCATAAAATTCTTTTTATTCTGATTGATTAATTTAAACGCTTTGAAGCATTTCATTTGTAGCGTCAAGTGGACCGCAGCAGTTCGGTTCTCACTGTAGATATAATTTCATTGAGTACAATTTCCGACGAACTGTAAAACAGGCGAAAAAGGATCTAATCATTTTCATTTATTTATACTTTACAATTAAACATTGAGTGCATGTGGATAAAAAAAGGCTAACGTGTCATTATTGCCATTATCCGTCAGTCTGTAAAATGAATTACGAAATACGAATGTTTTATGCGGTCGCGATTGCGCGCAACTATGCGCTTTAGCGCGGACCATGGAGAGAGACCGCCTCACCGCCCGTGTCCCGTGTCAGTTTTTGGTGGACGACTGCGTAGCGTCCGCTTATATACCGACTCGCGTAGCCAGCGCCGCGCCAATCAGAGCGCTTGGTGGCGGGCGCGAGGCAGGGTACTATATATACGGCGCGTCCGCGCTGCGCGCGCAATAGTCCGGCGGCAGTCCGCTGAGTCCGCATCGAATTTGGAGGAGCGTCACGTCGTATCACATAGGAACGATGTACATCCTCAGACAGCTCATGCGCTGCGAAAAATAGATGAACATGTATGCATTGGAGGAAATTTACATACGGGTACATGAAATCTCTAAATTTATTTTGTTTTTTCTATAATTTAATTAGATTACACTTAATTTGATCGCACGGTCGGCCACAAATGTTCGCCGCGTCGCGCGTCGACGCGGCGCTTGTTTCGCGTAAGCAGACCGCGTGCGAGACAAATTGCTCCGCTTCATTATATTAATTACGCATTTATGATTTATCCATAAATATGGCGTACCTTAACATGCAACGAATATATGAATAAACGCATAACTAAGAGATAGTAAAGCGGCGTAATTCGTTCCGCGTGCCATCAGCTTACGCGAAACAAGCGTCGCGTCGCAGCGCGGGCGACGTGTCGGCGGCAGTATACGTCTTGATTTTCGGTCAAACGAGTATTGCGATTACGCATCCGATCGAATCAAAAACCGAATGCCGAATCTATATTACGCGCTAATTAGATACAAGATTGATCGGATGCGTATTTCGCAATACTCGTTCGACCGAAAATCGAAATGTGTCGGCGTCACCGTGCGCCGTGCACTGTTACACCGACGCCGCCGCAGCGCGTACGGTGGCGCTATTGGCGAAGTTGATCGCGCGGATAGACGAAACTGCTTCACCTGATTTTAGTAGCGTTCCTATTACAATTTCAGAACTCGATACGAGATGATCATCTTCGGATCGAGAGGCGTCGCGGCTAATGTAATTGGTAAGTGGAACTTGTATTGCATTTGTCTAACATGTAGCGTCGCCGCGCTATCGCCGTCGCCACCGCCGCCGACCCGCGTCGCCGCGACGCTTGCACTTCGCGTATAAGCTGACCGCGTGCGGGACAAATTGCTTCATTATCTTAATTACGCATTTATCCACAAGTATGGCGTATGTTAACATACGGCGAATATATGGATAAAAGCATAACTAAGATAGTGAAGCGGAGTAATTCGTCCCGCATGCCGTCAGCTTACGCGAAACAAGCGTCACAGCGCGGGCGACGCCGGACGCGTCGGCGGCAGTACACATCTTGATTTTCGGCCGAACGAGTATTGCGATTACGCATCCGATCAATCAGAGTTCAAATGCCGAATCTATATTACGCGCTAATCAGATGCAAGATTGATCGGATGCGTATTCCGCAATACTCGTTCGACCGAAAATCGAAATGTGTAGGCGTCGGCGGTGCCGCGCGCCACTGTTACCGCCAGGGTCGTCGACGCGTCGCCGCACGCCACTGTTGCACCGACGCCGCCGCAGCGCGTACGGTGGCGCTATTGGCACGCGAGCCGCGAAGTTGATCGCGCGGATAGACGACACCGCTTCACTTTTAGTAGCGTTTCTTTTTTTATAATTTCAGAACTCGATACGAGATCATCTTCGGAACGAGAGGCGTCGCGGTTAATATAATTGGTAAGTGGGACTTTGCATTTGTCTAACATGTAGCATCGCCGCACTATCGCTGTCGACCCGCGTCGCCGCGACGCTTGTTTCGGCGTAAGCTGACCGCGGTGCAGGCCAAATTGCTCCGCTTCACTATCTTAATCACGCATTTATCCATACGTATGGCGTACGTTACATACAGCAAACATATGGATAAACACATAAGTAAGATAGTGAAGCGGCGTAATTCGTCCCGCGTGCCGTCAGCTTACGCAAAACAAGCGTCGCGGCGCGGGCGACGCGTCGGCGGCGGTACACGTCTTGATTTTCGGCCGAACAAGTATTGCGATTACGCATCCGATCAATCAGAGTTCAAATGCCGAATCTATATTACGCGCTAATCAGATGCAAGATTGATCGGATGCGTATTCCGCAATACTCGTTCGACCGAAAATCGAAATGTGAAGGCGTCGGCGGCGTCGCGCGCGACTGTTACCGCCAGGGTCGTCGACGCGTCGCCGCACGCCACTGTTACACCGACGCCGCCGCAGCGCGTACGGTGGCGCTATTGGCGAAGTTGATCGCGCGGATAGACGAAATCCCTTCATTATTTTAGTAACGTTTCTTTTATAATTTCAGAACTCAATACGAGATAGATCCTCTTCGGATCGAGAGGCGTCACGCAACTAATATAATTGGTAAGTGGGACTTGTATTTACATTTGTCTAACATGTAGCGTCGCCGCACTATCGCCGTCGCCACCACCGCCGACCCGCGTCGCCGCGACGCTTGCACTTCGCGTATAAGCTGACCGCGTGCGGGACAAATTGCTCCGTAAGCTGATCTCGTACGGGAATTGCTCCGCTTCGCAATCTTAATGACGTTAACGCATAAACGCGCTGCCACCGTTGCGGCGGCGCTCATTTCACGTAAAGTTAATCGCGCGCGAGACGAAGCACGCTTCTTTGCCATCTTAATTATATTAATGTTTTAATTGCAGGACGTGATGGGTACAGAACGCAACGATTGCGGAACGAGTACCGTCGCGAGTCATATAATTGGTAAGTGCGAAAATTACGTTGAATTTCGTACGCTTTTATTTTTTGCTGCCGCAATATGATTAAGTTACGTGTGATTTATATCGAGAATATACGAGATATAATAACCGTGTGATCGTCTTTTTAATA